CCACTACCGCCGCCGCCGGGCCGGGCATGAGCGCGGAGGGGCCGCGGCCGCCCCCCGCACCGCCCGGCGCGCGCAGGCCGTGACCGGGCGGGGGGCGCCCAGCGGCGAGCGGCGCGGCCGGAGGAGCCATGGACTGCAGCCTCGTGCGGACGCTCGTGCACAGATACGTGAGTGCCGGCGGGGCGGGCGGGGCCGGGGCGCCGGGCCGGGTCCCGGAGACCGACCCGGCTTGGCCGGCCCCCGGGAGGGCTTGGCGGCTCCGAGGCTGACCGCCCCTGGGGACCAGCAGAGTGCTGGGGAGGGACCGCTGGGAGTGGGCGCCCTCGGGCTTCCGACGGGGACTTCAGGTGCCCACTCCGGCCCGCTCCCGGCCCACCGCCTCCTGGGTCCCTGTCCAGCTGGAAGTCCTCAGATCCTTCCTCAGGTCTGGGCTGGGGTGCGAGCGGGCCCCACAGTCCCCCCGGAACTCTCCTTGGACTCAGAGCCGGGCCCTGGTCTGGGGAGGAGTGGTCAGTCCGGCAGTCGTATCTGCAGGACCAAGAGATTGGGGGAAGTGTCACACTTCTGCAGAGAAAGCTGTGCTTCGGTCTGTTTGCTTGCTTTTTGGCACATGGTGGGATTCAGAGTGAAGTTTGGAATCTCTCCCTGAAAGCAACCCGTCAGATCCGGGGCCAGAGTACCTGGGTTCCTGGGGGATCCACCTCTGTGGCGGGGATGAGCCTCAGGAGGAAAGACTTGGAGGGGAAAGGTTCTGTTTTACAGCAGGGCAGGGGAACTGGACTCAGAGTAGCCGGCATTGCTGGCAGTAGGTGGAAAAGGGGTGTGTGTGCAAAAAGAGAAAGAAAACTGTCCGGGGCACTGTTCCCTTGCCTTGTGACAACACAAGGCTTCTTTGTTGCCCTGCGGCACAGGGTCAGCGGTCAGTCAGGTTGGAGGAGCCCAGTTTGATGCAGAGGGCACTGCCGGGCACTTTGTTTTTCCTGGTGTAGTTTCTTTAGGCAGGCTTTCTTCCTCGTGAGCTTCCTTTGAAGAAGAGACCTTGACTGAAGGGGTGTGTGTGCTCCTTCAGGAAACATACCAAGCTGGTGCCTTTCCCTGATTTCATTCATTCACAGAGGCTGGAGAATTCAGGCACCTTGTGTGCACAGAGGAAGCTGCTACTGGGTGGGAGGAAGCTGGGGAGGCCAGCCTGCCTTCTCCTGAGCAGAGCCTGGGAGGGGAGGCCCCTGTTGAAGTCCCTAGTAACAGGTTCTGGACACCCAATAGCAGTGGCTGTAGGTCACCAGATGTGTAAAGAAGAAGAAGAAAAAAAAAGCACTTTATGAGGCAGGAACCTTCTGTTTTCAACGTGCCACTCGGGCAATGAGAGTCCCTCGATGACTTCTTTTCTTGCCTCAGTTTCCTCAAAGGGAAATGGAGAAAGAAAGGGTAGAGCTGTCATGTGCTTCAAAGGTACACACTGTTTTCCATGTTAATTTGGTTCTCTTCCAATTCTAACAGGAGTGAGAAAAAAGAGGATCAAACTGTGGGAAATAATGTGCATCTGTCTCCGTGAGAAAGGCACCGTGGCACATCTTTCCTCTGGCTGCTACAGGAACTCTCTACCCTGGCTCCCACCTTTCCAGCCAGCCTTCCGATCCCGCGGGGCAGACACTGTCCCCTGTGGGTGCTGGGCTTATTGCCCCCCTTCCTCCAAGCCTGCTGCCATTTCGTGCCATGGCAATCTAGATTCGCTTTAGCGTTTTTAGTTCCTTTTTGCTACATTATTACACCTGTGAAACCACACTTATTCTTAAACCTAGGAGAGAAATGTTCTTTAATTGTTCCAGCATATACAATATGTGGCCATGCCCCTGGAGTGCTAATTGTGGGGCACCAGATATTGTCTTCCTCATTTCACATCACCGGTGTTATCTGCAGAGCCCTTCTTCATGTTCACACACATAGTGTTTGCAGCTACAATCCTACACTCATGTCTGTGCTATTAAACTAATTTGACTGTTTCCAGAAACAGTCATGATCTTGTAATTTGGTTATCTTCTAATATGCAGGACTAAATATTTTTTTACTTTTGCCAGTGAAAAAGAGTCTAGGATCATATGTTCATATTTCCTTGCAGTTTTCTTATGCGACTTGTTTTATGGAAATGAGTGAATAACCTTCTCCCTTCTCCTGTTCACATTGAATTCACAGGACAGAGGATGCATCCCAGGTCCTTCTGAAGCATGAGTCCTTAGAAAACATTGCTATATGTATTTTACTCTGGGTTAATTCTAGAGAGAGAGAGCGGGTAGGTGAGTGAGAGAATTCTGTTCATTTAGGCCCATACTCCCCAAAGTCTGTCATTGGCTGGCTGGCTGTAAGGCACGCTTGTATCTACCGGTGACACCATGCTTACCTACCCTGAGGTAGTTTTACATTTAAAAAAAAAAAACATTTTAAAGGACGCAAGTAGGAGCTTGTGCTGTCTCTTTTGTAGAGATGTGAGGCTGGGGACAAAGATAGAGGTAGTGAACATGCCGAGAGGGAGCTGTGCAGTCTCCTGGGTGACCTCAGGTTGTGCAGTGGCTGCCGATGGCAAGCACAGGCTCCCACTTCTAGCTGTGTGCCTTGGGACGGTGGCACCTTTTCCTTTCTCTGTGTTCTCGTCTGGGGTGGGACCCAGTTTGTAGACGTAGAAGTGAGTTACTGCAGGAAGCAGCTAGGAATGGATGGACCTGGCTCCAAGGAATGTTCCGCAAGCCCATCACCACCAACTTCTGCGTGGCCTGGTCTCTGGGCAGGTTTTGCTGGGGACAGGAGACGATCCATTCTGTGGACGGCTGCCCATCAGGCCCAGCCCGCAGGCCCTGCAGCCTTCAGAGTCAGCCTGGGTGGTACTGTGTGTGAGCTCAGGTGGGATTCAGAGGCTTCAAAGCAAGGTCGCAGTGGCCACCAGGTTTGCATGGGGCTATGCATCCTAGGCTGGGCCCCTCGTTGGACAATGCGTGCCCCCACTGCCCTTCATGCTCTCATTGTGGGATTTGAATTCTTTTTAGGTGTCTATGCTCCAGAGCTCGACCCTGGCATGTCTGTGGTATTGGTTTCTGTAATTCGGCCTGGATATAGTTTGTTGTGTTTTGCTGCTTGTTGAGGTTTTTGCCAGTTTCTGCCCTACAGTTTTTGCTTTCCAACAGAGCAAAATCCAAGAATGTTAGATACTAAATATTTCTGAGGTTTGAAAAATCCCAAGGCTTCCTTATTCACTGTGGATATTTATTTTTGAAATAAATTGTTACATTGGAATGTCTGTGGGATCTAAGAACTCCGTACGTTTCTGTATTAGAGAGAGTCAGACCTTCCAGGGGTTCCACCACTCCCAAGCCTGCCTGTGTGCCTGCTGCCTCGGTCGCCTCGTGGCTGGCCACTGAGCGCCGTGCTCCGCCGAGAGCTTGCCTGCTCTGGAAGACTTGCCCACTTCTCTCAGCTGTCCCCGCCCCTCTTGCAAAGCACAGAGACTGCGTGATTTTGGAGATGCCTTCCCAGTCCAGCACTCCATGGCACAAGGCCTTCCTGGTGTGTCCAGCTCTTGTATCTACACCACAGGACACTCTGTGAAACCACTCTAACCACGAAGGCCTTCAGGTATTTGAAATAAGTGGATCCTGAGGGCTATGATCCCAGACTAATGGACGGCTGCCTCCAGCAGTGTGGACTTGTGAAGTTGGTAATTAGCGGGTGTTTAACAAGGCACAGCGGGCGGGCTCACCAGGCCCTGCCTGCTCCGGGCTCCTGCTCCTCTGGGAGGCTTGGAAGCAGTCTGCCCTGCCATCAGTGTGTCTTGGGCTTCACGTTCAGGCCGCCACCTCGAGGCCTCTGTCGTCATCGATGTTCAGAACCCTGTTGAATGTCTGCTCCTCAGGAACAAGCGACCTTCAGATGCTTCTATTTCATGCCAGAGACTACACTTAAGGACCAGGGAAAGAGGTTTTTGTCATTACGATCAGTGAGATTTCTAGGGACGAGGGTGCCACCCTCAGTTCACAGTTAGTTGAAATTGCCCGAATCCACTGATGGGGAGCACAGTGTGTTGGATGTGGGAAGTCCTGTACCTCCAGGGGTAGTGGGCTTTGAAGCCTAACATACACTGGGGTCATTTCTTCCTGTAGAAACAGGTCAGGGAAAGATTCCCAAGTCTCAGACTCAGTGTTCTTCCAACCAAGTTTAAGCTGGTCAAAGGGCTGTTTATTTGCAATGCAAACCCACAGCAGTTTTTACAGCCCTCGGATTCAGCAAGGCTGGGCAGGGGCTTCTTCTGCTTTTCTTGGATGCTGTTGCCTGAGAAACACAAAACAGAAGGTCAGGCGTCAGAGTTGACAATTCTGCACTCGTGCCCTGCCCTGGCCCTGCCCCGACCCTGTGACCCTGGGCAGGCTGGTT